TATCTCTGATAGGCTTCTGAATTCCTCTGCATTGTCTTGAAGTTCATTGAGCTTTTTCAGAAGAGCTATTTTTGAATTCTTTGTCTAACAGGTCATATATCCATCTCTCTAGGATTTGGTCACACTACCATATTTAGTTTATTTGGTGAAGTCATGTTTTCCTAGGTGTTCTTTGTGTTTCGGGCTTTTTTTTTTTTTTTTTTTGACTAATGAAATATACTAGTGAGAAGGGGGGAAAGTAGTAGAACAAGGAGTTCAGTCTGTATGTTCTTGATGTTTGTGGATGTTTGTTGATATCTGGGTATTGAAGAGTTTGGAATTTATTCTAATCTTCACAATCTGACCTTGTTTGAACTCGTCCTTGAGAAGGCTTTGGAGATAATCAAAAGGAATTAAGAGTTGTGATCCAAGTCTTTGATCACTGTGGCCATATCAGCACTAGAGGGCACCCCAAGCCCAGTAATGCTGCAACTTTTGCAGCCTGCTGGTGGTACCTACTGCCTTGGCGGACTGATTTTTGGTTCTCATGAAGGTGCTTTCTTACATGAATAATAAATTTGGTGTTCCCTCGGGGGAATGATCTATGATCTCTGGAGGGTTTTATATAATGTTTGGCCATTTTGGCCCACTTCGTCTATTTTATCTTTCTTTTTTTTTTTTTTTTTTCAGACACGGTCTCACTCTGTTGCCTGGGCTAGGCTAGGGTGCCGTGGCCTCATTATAGCTCACTGCAGCCTCAAAATCCTGGGCTCAAGCAATCCTCCTGTCTCAGCTTTTGGCTAATTTTTTTTATTTTTTGTAGAGACAGGGTCTCACTATGTTCCCCAGGCTGGTCTTGAACTCTTGGCCTCAGGCAGTCCTTTTGCCTCAGCCTCCCAAAGTGCTGGGATTACAAGTGTGAGCCACAGTCCCCAGCTTCTTCTCCTCCTTTTTTAGAGCAAAGAAAGTAGTCCTGAAAGGTCCTCAGTACACTTTGTATCACATGCTTCAGTGTAAACCTGTCACTAGCAAAGTAAATGGAATTACTGTGGTGGGCAAGACTATTCAGCATTCACCTCTAAAACTAAGAAGCACATGGACACTCAACTTCTGAAGAAAGTTAAGGTTCTCTTAGCCTGAAGGAGGCAGGGGGTGACTATGTGGGAAGTAACCAGCAATATCTGCCGGAAAACCATATTTAAAATTTTGGGGCCGGGCGCTGTGGCTCACGCCTGTAATCCTAGCTCTTGGAGGCCGAGGCGGGCGATTGCTCAAGGTCAGGAGTTCAAAACCGCTGAGCAAGAGGCGAGACCCCGGTCTCTACTATAAATAGAAAGAAATTAATTGCAAGCTTTATATATTATAAAAAATTAGCCCATAGTGGCACATGCTGCAGTCCCAGCTACCCGGAGGCTGAGGCAGAAGGATCACTGGAGCCCAGGAGTTTGAGGTTGCTGTGAGCTAGGCTGACGCCACGGCACTCACTCTAGCCTGGGCAACAAACGAGACTCTGTCTCAAAAAAAAAAAAAAAAATTTTGGTTATTGGCCGGCCACAGTGGCTCTCGCCTGTAATCCTAGCACTCTGGGAGGCCAAGGCGGGCGGATCACTCAAGGTCAGGAGTTCGACACCAGCCTGAGCAAGAGCGAGACCCCATCCCTACTAAAAATAGAAAGAAATTAATTGGCCAACTAAAAAATATTACAAAAATTAGCTGGGCATGGTGGCGCATGCCTGTAGTTCCAGCTACTCGGGAGGCTGAGGCAGAAGGATTGCTTGAGCCCAGGAGTTTGAGGTTGCTGTGAGCTAGGCTGACGCCATGGCACTCTAGCCCAGGCAACAGAGTGAGACTCTGTCTCAAAAAAAAAATTTTGGTTATTAAATACATAATTTGAAAAAATTAATACACCTTCGGAGTAAAAAATATATATATGTAAAGTGAAAAATGAAAATATGCCCTCACCCATTTTTTACCTCCTAATTCCACTCCCCTGATGAAACTACTCTCAGTAGTTA